GGGCCAAAGTCTTGAAAATCTTGAATCTCTGGAGATCCCAGAGAGTCAGTCAGTCATACCTCGAAAATGCCAGTCCCCGAGCAAACCGAAGCAGTGCAGTTAAGTGCCCAAATTCAGTGTGAAATTTCGGAGATCAGTTCGCGACCTCACAGCTCCTGCAACACCACGCAAATCGCAGCTCCCAGTCTCTCCCATCTCCGAGATGTCCGGGTATGTCATTTGCATTCGCAGCTGTTCGGTATAACCTCACTGGCACTGGCACTCAGTATCGTATCGCATCGTATCGAAGGTATGTATTGTAGATCGTGAGCAAATTCTTTAGACATCCGGCTCTATAAGAGCGACACACGCTTCCAGAATTTTCAATGGCGTTATCGTCATCGCCCTCATCGCGTATGCACAGACAACTCTTGGTTTCTTGAGGCAACGAAAAACGTGTTTCGGGCCAGCCCGAAATCGATTTGGTAATCAGTTTCCTCTATATATGCGCAGATCTATGATCTAGGCCTAGGCGAAGTGGCCTCCGGTTTCGGCTCTTTAACGTGCCCAATCAGCGGCGGCATCTCCGCACTCAGACCATTTGAATATGCTGATCCATCCGGCCGTCTCTTTCTCCGGTCGTACTCCCCTCTCTTTCGCGGGATGTGTGATTTGTTCTTGGAACTATTTGAATTTGACTTGCGGTCAGCGGCTAGGCGTCAACTCTCGGGCCTCAGAATATATCTATATTTGGTGTGGATATTATGTTAATTCTGTAATTCACGTCATCGGTTCAAGTCGAGAGATTTGTGTATTAGTATACATCTATGTGGATACTATATATGGGGGGATTTATCTCAAAGGTGTGTTGACTTCAAGTGCAAATTAACCTTAATGGCATGTCTGAAGAAATCACAATAAAAATCCCCAGTTGATCAATCCCACCTAGAAACAGTGTAGGGAACATCATTTGCTTGCATCACTAAGTAGATGTTTCAATGGCAGATTGCTTTAATTGAGTACGGCGAAATTGCTTACACACATTACAGTAAATATATAAATCCACGATCAGATACTGATCACAAAACTGAGCTTCTGTATGGATAACTCTCTAAACCAAAAGTCACAATGATATAAAGGAACTAAACGAACTGAAGCTATTCTGATCATGAACATGCCTTTCAAGGTCTTTATATATTTAAAATAAGACTTGGTTAGAGGTCTTAGACATTGTAGTGGCTTATTATTTCCCTTACTAAACCCCTTAGACTTAGTTTAGGCCTTGTGTAAGCCGCTTTAAGAACCCTCCATTAGCCTTTCGAATGGATCTGGACTTGCGGACGATAAACCTCGAATGTTTCTTAATGTTTCCTAAAAGTTTTCCAACCGAGCTCGGCTACGAGTGCGGTTACGAGCACTTGAGTGGCGACGGAAATCTGCCTATGGCCCCTGGAATGGATCGTAAGTGGCTGGGCTGGCTACTGTCGTCACACAATATCCATTGCACAATTTGCGGCAGTGGCAGGCGAACAAAATGGTAAAATGGTAAACTGGTAAACTGGCGAACTGGCAAACTGGTAAAGTGAAGTAAAGTGAAGTAAGACATTCAGAAAATTCGCCTGCCTGGCTGGCTGCTTTTCAACATTTTCCGCCGCTTTATGTTTCAGCGATTATTACTCGCAGCAGCAGCAGCAGCAGCAGCGGCAGCGGAGCGGTGTGTGTGTGAATCGCAGAGCTGTGGCTGTGGAGTCGAGCGAGGCGCATAATTGTGGGAACTTACGTTACGGAACGCTCGTCTAGCAGGCCGTAGACTTATGGACTTGTAGACCTGTAGGCCTGTAGACCTGGCTAAGGCCAGTCAGCCGTTCACTTGGCATTACTGACTCGGCCTGGCCCGGCGCTATCATGCCAATGCAGGTCCAAGTCCGGACCCACCACCGCCACAACACCACCCTGCGACGTCTTCCACGACGTCTTGCGTCTTCGGTCCTCTGTCGTTCCAGTTACAGTCACTTGACCAACCGAAACATTAAGAATGCGAAGAGTAAGAGTCAACTGGGAATAAGACGGTCTCTCGTTTTGGTGGGCATAATTGTTGATCGTCGTAGCGTGCATATTTATGGGAATATTTCTCAGAGCGAACGAAATCATTGCAGCCCCGCACTTCTTCCCAGGGATCCGTTCTGTTTCTGGTTCTGGACGAACGCGCGCTCGTCCAACTTTGACCTTTTTCCGACCATTATCTTCGTTTGTCTATGCAAAATGCATACAAATTCCACATTGCCTTTCTCAATGCATTCAAAGCGGCTACGCCTGCGCAAAAACACAACGCGGGCGGAGGGAAATACAGAAAATAAAGTAATGCCAAAGCCGACGATGACGACAGATAGTACATATGCCAGTGTGAAAATAGTCGGGAGTCTCTGTGTGGGCGAGGAGACGAGAAATCGGGTGAATGTCCATGGGGGCCTCAAAAACCTTTTGAAATAAAAAGAAAAAGCACACGAAAATAAAAGGAAAAACCCAAGGCGCGCGACTAATTGAATGGCCAAAAAGGTAAAGCGAAATAAATCAGCGAAATTGCACAAAACCAAAAATAAGCGTTCATCAAAAGAGAGGAAATCACTTTACTTTCCCTTTCAGCAATGCCGAGTGTTACACAATCAACTCCATACAGGGTGCTATGTTGTCTTTGGTTATCTAGCTGTATGAGTGATAAATAACGTCATAAAGCTAGCTTACCGAAGTTAATATTAGCGTCTGTCCAGCGAAAAATCAACAGTTATAAACCAGTGCTAAAAATACTTGTTAAAAAGGATTAATACAGATGTGAACAAAATACTAGTAAAGCAAGAAAATATAACCTATCAAATACAAAATAATAAATTCTTTACATATTCAAAGTAAGAATCGAAGTGAAAATAAAAAATTATGCATATAATTTGACAATAACGTATATCTAATGTTGTGTGTGTTTTCCCTTACTTAAAATGTATCCTTGTAGATTTAGAAACACTACGCAATGCATTTAAACAAAATATTTATGAAATGTTAAAACTCTTATCAAATATTTATTGAACCAACTATTAAAATACAATTATTTTACTTCTAAAGAAAACAAACTATTAATTTAAAATATATTCCCTTTTATAGTTAACTCTAAGATTACAAAAAAAAAACATTTTAAGTATGACTACTTTTTAGTTGAGTTGGAAAAAACCCTATATTATACGATAACTATATATCTTTACTACACCAGATCACACGCATGAGCCAAGGACAGGTTCCTTGTACTGTGTGCTTCTTCCTGAAAAAGAAGTTCTATAAAGGAGTAAACAGAATATTGTTTCACAAATCGTAACAAAAAATCCATAAATTGAGAGTTTTAATTTTCTATAAAATTTGAATTATTTTTGTATAATCAATTGCATGACAAATTGTTTAGACTTAGTATTTTGTACTTAATTTTATTTGCTATTGGCGTAATTTTCTGACCGACTCTGTGCCTACCTTAAATATAAGGAATGTGTACCGACACATGTCTATTATTTTCCTGTGGCTTTGACTGCTAAGTGCTTAAAAAAAATACTCGCAAGCATGAAAGTTTTAGCATATTTAGCTATATATTATGTGTCTTTACTCTTCTGTTTTGTTTTGATTTATAGTAACTACCTTTCCTTGAGTCTTTCTTTTTAATATGCGAAAGGTAGTTAACGGAGAAGCAGAGGATGGTGGTGAGGAGGTGACACAGGGGAGAAGGAACTGACACCACAAAGCGCACTCAATGACGTCGCTAATGAGCAGGTGATTCATTGAAATCGATACGAATGATGTCTCATTTGAGAACCGATAGAGATTAAATAAAATCATGTTTATAAAAATATATAAATACAATATTTCTGCCAGTCAGAAACTCTTTAGTTTAAAGTTAAAATATGTAAAACTAATAAATGGGTTACTGATATTTGTACGATGCGCATTGAAATGTACATAATATTACATTTACTTAAACTTTAATTTATTTTAACTATCCCTAATTTATAAAATCTACGCAATAAATAAAATTATAATGTCCTTTATTTTTCAGCTTGTATTGGTTTTATGTAAAGTGTAATATTTTAAACAGATAGATAAAAAACAAGCACAAACACAGAAAGTCATTATTGACAAAGTTTATTATTTATAATAATAATAATAATTAATACTGGGCAGACAATTTTGTTTTTATAATTATCTAGTAAATATTTTTCTGTAAAGAGTTTTAGCTTTATCGAGGTAAAATTGAAACTTAATCAAAATAATAATTGAATTTTTAGATAGAATTATATATATTGAAATTGAAGACTAAAAACATTCCATGCTGGAAATATTTTCTGGTTAAAAAGCACATGCTAAAATGTTGAACCACACGAGGGCTTAGCTTTTAGCGATCTTTGCTTAGCTCCGTTTCCAAGTTGAAGTTCACAGATCTCGACAACTCATAGGCATATGACTAACGACGGCTATGCAAATTAGTTTGGGCCATATGCCCGGTTATCGCAGGCAAGAAAAAACTAAAAAAAAAACTGAAAAACACAGCACAACATCTGTTCGAACCGGGGCCAAAAGCAAATTGTCGTTTGCCATCGTATCGTGTGGCAGTACGAGTTGAGCTCGCCGGCTGAGCACCTTCGAACACACTAGTTAGTATAGATATAGTGGATATAGGGGCGATCTCTGGCCCGACGCCGGCCCAGCGATTCATATAGTATAACCGATGATGTATGGTGGGAATTTCCGTTACCTTAGCCATTCGATTGGTCGCCGTCCGATCTCTCCAAGTTAAGTCTAGGTGTTGCCTCCGAGAGAGCAGTGTAAGCAGGAACACCAACAGTAGGGTGGTCCAGTATTGGATTGAAAATAAATGTAATAAAAATAATTAAAAGGAAAATTGCTCCGAAACGTTGACATGTTTTACTTATAGACTTTCCCCAGGAAATTATAAGAAATAATCAGCGAAACTCAGGTCAACCCCAGATATATTTTGGTTTTGGTGGAAGTAAACAGATTTCTTTATTTTATTCATTATAATCTTTAGCTTTTTCATTCTCAGAGACCCGTGGCAGAGTATTCGTTTTTGCTGTTACTCAATTCGAATTACATATCACTAAAAATCAAAACAGAAATGTCGTCCCTTCCTCCTTCGGATATTGGTTTAGACCATCGCCTTTTCTTGATAGATTGGTTTTCTTTTAGAATATCGCTACGAGAGTTGGTATTATTTACCAAATTGTTGTTTGTCTTCTTGATGTTGTTTTTGTAAATTTTCGATCTAATCATAAACATTTTGGTTGTGTTTACTCACAACTTCTTCGTTTCGCTTAACAAAAGTTAGAGAATTTTGTTCATTTGCTTGTTTGATTTTTTGTTTTTTTTTTTTTTTTTTTTTTGAAATTAAGAGGCAACTTAGAGAATTAGAAACAAGTGTCAACATCGCACTCATCGTCGTCATAATATTAATTAGAGTAATAATAATAAATTTATCATACATACAAGCTCCATATTTATGTTGATCTTTAAGTGTTTACTTGAACTAATTTTAAATGTTTTAAATTTAGAATTAATTAATATACTTTAAGTTTCTGTTAGAATTTGCTAAGAGTTCATTTAGTTAGTTAATGCTCCAATTCTTTAAAGCCTTTCCTACACACACATATACATTTAAATAGTTTCCTTGCTAACTTAGTTCTTGGAAGAAAGTTGTAATTCTTGTTTCATTCGATAGATTTTGATTAGTTCATGTTGGGAGTGAGTATTCCAGAGGGGCGAGGGTGAGGTGAATGACGAACTGAAACCTCTTTGCTATTTAGTCAACTGTGGAAATGCCGAAACGCTGAGAGATCTCTGCCGATGAGAAACCATAGAGGGGGAAGTCGATGAAGTTCATACCTACTAGACTACGGACCATTTAAAAAATACACGAATTCATAATAATATTTCTCATAATTTTTTCATCTCGAATCCTATTCGTTTGCCCGACTCCACCCAAATCGCCTGCAGTTAAAATTTCATTATTGTGTTCGGTTTTTGTTCTCTATGCCTCTTGGTTTCTTGGACCCAATGCAACTTGCTTGAGTTTCCCTCGACCTTCTTCGGTTATAGGTATGTATCGTAGGTATATCCCTAGGATCTTTCTGTGGGTAGAACTTTTCAAACGGTTTGCCTTCTATGCTACTTTATGTTCACTTTGTTAAAACATACACAGTAAATTCCTCTAAAATGCTTCGGTTTCGGTTGTTTGCTGTTGTTTTCTTGTCCCCTAAATAAAGTAAATAGTGTTGCATATTATTATTATTATTACTTGTATCTTTTCCTTTTTTGTTTTATTTTTTTTTTTCATTAACGGGCCTTCGCTAATCAAATCCGACTTGGCCGCCACAGAATCTGGGTTCGGCACTTATATTTCATTAAATTTGTTACTGCTTTCGTTTTAAATGTGCTTTTATACATCGTACACATCCAGAGACGCTTGCACCGGAGTCTGCAACTGTTTAACTTTAATTAAATATCGTCTCCCTTGAACTCGAAAATCAGATTTTATAGATTACACTGGTACTGGGGTTTTAGTTTTCGGGCTTTCCCTTTTCTCTTTGGCGACTACAGACACACGACGATTTCTACAAACGAATTCAATTTAGTTTAAAAACTTTTCAAGTTAGTCTAAATTTAAACATAAATCATCTCGATCTGGTGTGGGATGTGGACGCGTGCGCTTCCATGGCCAAGGATGCGGATGCTGATGTGGATGCTGTGGGCGCGGACCTGCTGCCGGCTCAGAACGAGGCCTCCACCAGGTAGGTGCCATCCATGGGCTGATTGTTTTGGCTATTTTGAGCATTGCTGGCAGCCGGCATGTACTTGCCGCAGGCCTAAACAGAACGAGAAAGGAGCAGAGAATGCATTAGGGCTTTTACGGATGATTAATGGACATCGCGGACGCAGAGTATGATATGCTAAAAATCAAAAACAGAAGCTTCCATGTGAACATAACCAGAATTGGTACAGTATATCAGGCGGGCTTCGGCTTAGGCTTCGCTTTCGAAGTGGTAATAAAAAGATACTTATTTTAAGAGTTTATTGTTATTACTATTTATGAAAGTCTGATTTTTTTAAAATGCTGTACCACAAAAACAATTTTAAATATTGTCCTAGCTAATAAATATACATAAGTAATATAGCTTGGTAGTAAAGTTCAAAGATTTTATTTTAAAACTTTATTGAACCTTGAGTTCAAAAAAATAAATATATAAAACATGATTTGCGTTCTTTTATCTGTTGTCAGCACTTTAATTTTTCGTTTTTGTTAGCAATTAATTATTATTTATTGTCTTCTCTATTATTTTTTACTTTATTAAAATTTTTTAAAATATTTATCTCATGGATTTAACATTTTTAAGCTCTCGTGTAAAATAGCACTTTTTACCTGATACATTTATCTACATTTAAAATCGTAGCATACTTTTGGGAGGCCTAATATAAACCTAATACAACGTGTAAATGTTAATGTTCAGAAGATATGTTAAGAGCTGTATATTTCAGAATAAAATATGAATTTGGAAATACTCTACTTTTGAATAAACGCTAAATCCTACATGGCTTTAATCCAAAATAGTAAAAAGTACATTTTAGGCGAATGATATTAAAGAGCTAAATGTTATTCAAGTGCAAATGTGTTTAGGTCCCTAAATACTATTTTTTGATTTATTTTATTCTTTTGCTTTTTAATCTTATTAAAAACAAAACCGTTTGCAGGAAAATAGATTTCAATACAAAAATGTTAGTTTACAAAAGCCGCAAAGATATGGGTACTTAGTAGTACATTTCTTAATGCATTTTTCACTGAATAATGTCAAAGTGCTAAGATTTATCTTGTGCTGATTACTTGTCTCACTGTTTCTTTTTTGTTATTACATTTACAGAAATTACATTTTCCCCTTTGAGTGATTTTAATTGCAACAAAAATATGCTTGTGTCCGCAAAGAAGCCCGAGATGCCTTTGAGCCTCCGACTCAAGGTCGCCTTTGTAGTTCTGCGGGTGAGGTGGGTGGCGATGAGTGTACAAAAAATACAAGTTCAACCAGATAATTCAACACACACAAACTATACATATACAGGGCACAGAGAGAAATATATATATAGAGAGATAGAGGGGTACGGAAAGCGGTTGTGGACCCACCTGCAGACGAACTCAACCCCTCGAGTGCCGGACAATGGCTCTCAGGTGCACTCTCGGGGCCAGGGGCCGTACTCGTGCTCTACGTCAGAGCTGCTCACACAGTGTCCGTGCCTCCGAGGTCCGAGCTGAGGCATGGATCGTGCCTGGGCCCGCGGACGCACTGTGTGTGTGCAGCCCTGCTTTGTGTACAGGATATGCGGAGGGGGATATAGCTTACCTGGTAGCGCTGGGAGCAGCAGCGGCCGCAGCAGGACTGCAGCAGGCCGGCGGCACTGTTTGTCGAGTGGGCGGGACTGGCCATCGGCGACGGAGAGCCCGGCCGCTTGGGCTGACCGTTATACGGAATTTCTAACTCGACAAATTCACGATCCTGCGGTCGGTTTTTGAGCATTGAGAGGTGTGTACAGCCAGAGAAGAATTTTACAAAGAGAAACGAAGAATACATAGAGTACAATGTTTTTTTTTTCTTTTTTTATCAACAATTTTACAATATAGAAATCGGGGAGGGGGCGTGGGGAGATACACACACAAAACACAGGACAACGGGACCACAGGAAGGGGTAATTCATACGCATAAACAAATACTCAGAGCGAGAGAGAAGGATAAAGAGCTAGAGTTGATGGCTCTTTCGAGTTAACACAACAGTTAAAACATTAAGCTGGTCTATGGGGGAGGAGGGGGGTAAAGTTTTAAATATTTCAACGCTTAAATTAATCAAAGTTAAAATCTAGGGTTTCTAGAGCTGGCGAACCATCGATAGGCCATCTTTTATTCAAATTGCATAAGAAATACATCATAATTCGTTGATTTCAATATAGATTCCATCTATATCCCATAATATTCCTTTTGATTGTATATAATTAGTAGGAGCCTAGATTGTGTTTGTAAATTGTATAAAACTTTGATACTATCGATGTTTAGCCAGCTCTACTTGGGTTCTTTTTGTTATATTTGCGGCTCCTAAGCAATGACAATTTTACAAAAACACTATGAGAACAATTTATTATTTATACAGCCAAAAGGGAGGAGTGGGCCGGGTGGCGGTCAGCGGGCGGGCGGTTGATCACTTAGCAGGACGAGAGAGCTGTAAATGCGGAGGGGGCGGAGGGTCGGTGGTAAGCAAGCGCCAGCTAGCGACATTCGAGTGCGATTTTTGTGTTTCCTTAGCGAGCGGTTTAAAACGCGGCCGCGTTTATAGCCGCTAAAACTGATTCCCGATTTATGGCATAGCGATATTTTATTGATTTGTGGTTTTAAGTGGGTTTTTTAAGGGCTCATCAAGTGGTTTGCTACGACTAGAACACCTAAATTGTTCATAAAGTGAGGAATATAAATCCTAATAGTGCTAGGAGCCATAAAAACCATTTTTATTATTATTAAAGTACTTAAAATAAAGTTAAAATTTTATATTGATATATATTTTTTTTTTATTTTAATAGTGAATTTTATTACAGGTATACTAGACATAAACTGTAATATTATTTTGTAAATCCTACTGAACAAAAATAAATATCTCAAAATGTATTGTGATTAGAGGCGTTAATTTTCAGAAAATATTAACCTAGTGAAAGCCTTACACTAAAATAACTAGTAAGACCATTCTCGTTCCATTAATAAAACTTAATTTCAGAAGAAAACTGAATCAATTCAATTTATTTTAATTAAGAACATATAGTGTTTTTGGATTTCAACTTGTACTTCCTCATTTTGTTTAAAAAAAAAAACTATATTTTTGTTTTGTAATTAGAAACTAAAATCAGATACAGGCATACCATCGCACTGATAGAGCTATTTTTAATCAATTCGGTAATTCCCTCTACAACTAATTACTTTTTATATGATTTTCCCTGGAATATGGCTACCATTAGAGTATAGGAATTTACTCCCAATAAATTAAAAAGGCATAAATAGTGCGGCCTAATGGGATTTTCATAACCACTTAAGTGTTCGTGCATCGCGTTTCGCCACACTTGATGAGCCCCATCGACGATTAAAATTGTTTAGATTTTGATATTGTTAGATTTTGTATTCATTTTGGGTTTTATGTTGACAGCAATCGATTGCATATGGCTAAATGGACGCTTCGAAAATTCTTGATGGCATGTGGGGAGCATTCTCGTATCGTTCTAACCGATACTATTCGGTGATGACCTATGTATTCGAGGAACTTAAAACAGAACGGAGCGCATAGCATTCAACACGAATCGTTTTCTTTCAACAAAGAGGTCGGAAAATAACGGAAAAACAACCGACAATCAACAGATAAAAAATGAAAATTCGAAATTGGAAATTGGAAATCATAAAAACTAATTGCAACGCGTAAACATGAACGAGATAGATAGATAGAAAGTTATAGAGAGAGAGAAAGGGATAGAGAAAGATTGAAGAAACAACGAAACTCAAATACAAACCGAAGGCACTTACTTTGGCGGATTTATATTCGTTTATCAGAGTATAGACATTGATATTCATGGCTCTTATTTGTTTAGTATGTTTTATATTTGCTTGATTTTTAAAGCCAGTTCAGCTCCCAGAACCGATACCAGATCGTGTGAAAAACATGGCACAAATGTTGAACTTAGAACATACAACTTAGGACGTAACACAACCGATCCGACATACACAGATACAGATACCGAAGACAATAATGTACAGAAAACAGATGAAAACAAAAATGGGAAACACGAAAGAAAATTATAATTTGTAAACACAAAAAATGCACATACAAAAGATGCTGAAATCGTTCAGTTTTAGTTTCAGTTTCAGTTTCTTTTTCTTTTACTCTTCTGGCGTTTTAACGATTTGGATTTCGAAATTGATTCTGATTAATGGAAAGACGCGATAGTGTTCAAAATGCTTAACAACAAATCCTTCCGCTGGTCATTTAATGTTTATAGGTGTCGCCGCCATTGTTGCTCTCTTAGCCGCTGTGGTCGCTAATGCTGTTGCTATTGTTGCTAGTGCCGCTATGGTTGTTGTGGCTGTTGTCATTGCTTGCCTAACGAGCTTGTGGCAAACCTTACGCTATCTGACTATAACTGAGATGTTCAAATGTTGCTACATCTGTATACACGGAAAAAACGAAAAATGTATAGATAAAGAGTGTGATAGGTAAATCATAAGTAACGTAAAATTAAAATTCAAACACTGAGCGCACAGTCGATTGACAATAGTAATATTTATATCACATGTGTATGTATATATGTATATATTTACATACATATAACTATATGCATATATATAAAGAGAGCAAGAGAGATAGAGAGAGCGAGAGCGGAGTGCACACATCGCGTATACGCACCGTTGTCTTCTCCAGACACCGCAGCAAGTGATGGTGCTGCAGCTCGAAGATGTCCTCGTCCCGATAATTGTCATCCAACTCGATGCCAGACTCCTGGGCGGCCCACCGTGCCTCGGCGGCCTTCTTCTTGCTGACAAAGGCGGCTCCGGACGAGGCCTTGGCAATGCGGATGCGCGCCAGGCGAGCTTTCTGCAAGGACATGGCAATAATCAGTTAAAGTGACGGCTGGCAGTGCGTATTTCCACAGGGAAAATTAGTTTTCATTGTCAAAAATGTTCAACAATATTTTTATTTGTTTTTTATAATATTTTGTTATAGAAATTGTTATGTTTTAAAGCTATTTAGCTGGTTGCTCAACTTTTTTTTCATTTGTTACAAAAGAAAATAAATAAATAAAAAAATAATAATATCCTAATCAGAACCAAACCTAAAACGTTTGTGAAACTCAGAAACCAACTCTATATTAATACTGTATCGAGTAGTCGATGCGTAACTCGATATTTTAATCTTTTGATTAAAAGAATAAAAGACTACCATAATTCATTAATATATATACTTATATCGATTAATTTTCGATAATATAGATTTTAACATAAAATACGATATATACGATAAATATTCGATACTTTAAAATTTCAATAAATCAACTTTTTTTATATTGTCGACATAATAATTAGCATTTTAAATATATGTATATTATATCTGATTTTTCCTCTCGATATATGATCATTCCTAGAACTGAGGAAGTGACTTACCCGTTGCGCCTTGCGCTTGTCTGCTCGCTGGTTCTGGTGATAGATTCTACTAAAGTTCGATACGATAACAGGTACAGGTAAGGCGATGACCAGCACACCGCTGAGCGAGCACACGCCGCCCACAATTTTGCCAGCTATTGTTTCCGGCACCATGTCTCCATATCTGCAAAGGCGGATAAATATTAAAAAGAACAAATATTAATATATTTTGTGTTATTTATTATATTATCACTTATTGTATAAACAGTGAGAGATCAGAAACAAGTCTTACCCCAGCGTCGTCATGGTGACAATGGTGTACCAGAAGGCCGCCGGAATCGATGTGAAGTTGGTGCCATTGACGTTCTTCTCCGCGTAGAACATGACGGTGGCGAAGATGATAATGGCCATGGCCAGCGAGAAGACAAGGAAGCCCAACTCGCTGGCGCAGGACTTGAGCGTGTAGCCGAGGATCCGCAGTCCCTGCGAGTGGCGCGAAAACTTAAAGATGCGGAAAACGCGGAACACCCGCAGTGTGACGAAGGCTCCGCTCACATCGTCGTTATCGGTGATCCCCAGTCCGATATAGTACGGCATGATGGCCACCACATCGATGATGCTCATCACGGAGCGCACGAACTTGCACCGATCGGGGGCGGCGAAGAGGCGGAGCAGATACTCCGCCGTGAAGATCATCACGCAGGCGGTGTCCAGGCAGAAGAACACGATCTTGTAGCGCTCTCCGCAGGGCAGAGTTCCCGCTCTGCCCGGACGGTGGCCACACGGCACCGTTTCCACCACGTTGGCCATCACAGAGACGGCGATAAAGAAGCCCGTAACGTAGTAGAACACCAGGGCACTCGTGGACGTGTGTGGGTTTTCAAAGGCCCGCCACATCTTCTGCCTAATGTTGGTCAATTGCTGCAGGTTCTGATCGCCATTCTCCGACAGCTTGTCGTCCATCAGCCGCTCGGCATTCTCCCGCTTTCGGTCCCTATAGTCCTCGTAACAGCAATCCCCGATAACATCCGGCATAATGCCGAAGAAGGCCAACTCCTCGTCGTAGCTGGTGAGGCATTCGTGCTTCGGATAGTGCAGCTTGCCGGTCCGATAGTAGTTGAGGATGTGCCGGAAGATGTCCGGGTCCCGGTCGAAGAAGTACTCTTTGCAGTCCTCATCGTAGAAGAATTCTTTTTCGTTGGAACCTACAGAATGGTGGTTAAATAATATGTTTTTTAATTGTGAATATTAAATGATTAGAACATATTAATATGTAGAATTGACTGCGCACCTAAAAGAGTGTCTGGATATTTCTCCAGGGTATTCCGCCACGTCTCGAAGCGGCGGCCGGACACGTTGATCAGGAGCTTCTCGTCGTCCGTTTTACGGCGGTCCTTGGGCATCGGCGGCGGTGGCAGTGGGTGGGTGGCGATCGGCACCCACCCGATGGCCGCCGCCCGGGCGAAGGGCAGCCAAGCGGCGACCGAGGCCATGCTATGGGGTGGAATGTTTCAGTGTCCCGGTCAACTCTCGTGGTGGCTCCTTTCTCGGCTCCTTGGCTGCGTCCGTTGCCGCTGGCTGGCTTCCTATATATTATTTGGCAGTTGTTGGGGGAGGGAGGGACTTTTGGGGTTTCTGGCCGAAGGGGGAGCCTCTGTGTCGAGCTCCTCTATTTTAAAGCTCTTGCCCGCTGCCTTTCCTTATTGTGTTCCGAATGCATTTCTGCAACGTCCGGCTAGCAGTGTTTTATTGCTTAAACTTATTGCTGTCATTTTTGCTTTTGCTTTTGCTGTTGCTGCTTTTGCTTTACTCCGTGGATATGAAAAGATTCCTCTGCCCGCCAGTTGGGTTGATGTGCAGCACTGCAAGAAAGAGGAAAAGTTTCCAAAGCTTAAGGAACAAGTTCTCTAATTCGCCAAAAAGTTTCTTAGACACGCAAGCAAAGATACACAAAGAAGCGCAATTTCAGGAGAAAGTTTGACACATATTTTGAAGAGCTTAAGTTGGACAGATGTTTAACTGATTTGTACCAATGTAGTAGTAGTAATTGTCTTCTACTGTAGCTTTAGCACATGGACTCAGAAATATATACATGACTAGATGAACTCTGCTGGTGATGCTAATCAGAAATCCTAAACACAAATATTAAGATAACCCAACTTGTCAAAATAAAACGTGGTTGAACTCAATAAGACACAACTAACTACAGCATTTCCGGTCAAGGTTCTTTTTCGGATTTTGCTATTACCTAAGCAAATATTTTGGAATTTTTTTTCTTAAATATTACCTTAAACTATCCAAACAATCCCACGATTATACTTAGATCCCCCACAAATTCTTAGAGACTATATAAATGGCATTCGATTCGGATTCGCTCTCTAGAGTTAAATACACCCACATTTAATTTAGACCCAAGCTATTGTTTAAAATTCACTTCAATCGAATTGTAAAGTTTATGGGGAATCCCGAATGGTATTACTTCCTACTCGCCCCCGTCCCCGCCCCGCACCTCACCGATCTGCCCCGACCCACATCGCGGATTTTCCGACTTTCCCAAAGCATAAATATTATCATAAATCGGTGGGAACAACCCGCTCGCCCGGACACACCACACACACACATCGGCCCACTCCTCAATTTCTCGCTTCACTTGTTTATATTATCAATTTATCCCCTCCCCCGACGCCCCTGCACATATATAATGATTCACAGCAGCAGCAGCAGCAGCAGTCGACAGACAACGCCATTCAATGCGTTTTCGAGCAGCGCTGTCTAAATATTTAAACGAGGCAAACACAGAATCGAACCGACCCACCAACTGGCGGGAGAACGGGAACACACTCCCCCGAGGGCCCAGCAGCTGAGGCCATTTTAATGGTTCAAGCGAACGGAGTGAACGTCCATTGGACCGACCACTGGTCCTCTTTCCATCCATATCTGGATGGTTCTGGTTTGGGTTCTAGTTCTTGAACTAAGACACGGAGAAAAATAACAAAAAAATCTGAATTTTTTAACAGTCTAGGGTGTTTCAAAAATGACAAGGGTTTGGAAAATCCTTAAATTCAGTATAGCCTTGTTTACTTTTTAAATTGTAAATATTTCTGGATAAAATGGACCCCTTTTTAAGGGTTTTCGTATGTTTAGTGACTATTGTAGCACCCCATATTATCTCTTTAGAAGTGGAATAAATTTGTAGGAAATCGGACAAATATTACGGCGACAAAAGCGATTCTAGTTTTGTAGAATTTCGCATTTGGTCAATTATATTTTCGCCTGAATCATTGCATTTTATATATAATATATATGTAAAGTGACAACAGAAATTAATTTTTTAATTTAAGTTTTAAACTAGCTATACAATTTTCAAACATTTTAACAATACTCAGACTTTCATCACACATTTATTCAGTTTAAAAACAATAGACCTTATTTTAGAAAAAGAAAATGCAACTTCATTTTGCTCAGTGTATGGGAATACTTGGTCGGAATGTGTGGGTGTCACTTGGTGCCTGTACTGCTGCTTGGTCGCTGGTCCCTCCGCTTTCCCAGTCGCACAACAAATTTATGTGCATTTCTATAGACAGTAAACACCCTGCAAATTTTCCTTTGGCCACAAGTCATTTTGCAAACAACAATTAAAACGCAAAAAGTTTCTGTGTCTGTCCTTCGGCCTTGTGTTCTTGACACCCACCCGTCGCCCCCCAATTGGGAACTGTGACTAAAAGTCATTTGTTTCCATAAATGTCAGGGCATGGCACGGCTCTTGAAGACTATATAATGTGTGTCTTTGATTTATACAATATTTATTGCTCTGTCTCTAGTTGTGTCACTAGCAATGCCACGATTGTTATTCTCTTGCTTAGATATTCCTGCCAAGAGGACATCGATTGCACTGCCCGAAACTGCAACTACGTTACACAGAAGTGTTTTGCATATATTTGGACGCCTGTTAATGGCCTGATGACACCCACACTGGAACAAAAATTCTCAAGTAAAAAAAGAAAAATAAGAAGATATTTCACTATATTCACAAATTATAAAGGTCTTCATGTCCCAACTATTCAGTGTTCTATGTTCTGTAATCTTTTTTAAACCAGTTATGTTGCAAAATTGTATATTGGATTACAGATTAACATAGAACACAGAATTGTTAGGATATAAAAACCTTTACTCCCTAAAAATATTTTTGAAATACCTTATTTCATTCACACATCACAAGTTTTGATTTTTATCAATGTCCCACAAGTTACATTGTAGACTTTCCAGTGTTTTAAAGGGGTCTCCAAGGGAGGCGTCAGGCCAACTTGGGGGTGAAGTGGATGTAGCGCTTGTCATTTGGCGTTGCCATAACAATACCCATTAGGAGTTATTAGTTCGGTGAATGGGAATAGAAACCACTAAGACATGGCGCGGTCACAAAAAGCTGGTCGATAGGTGAAGGCTAAGGTTAGACAAGGTTAGCTAAGGTGATAGATGGGAGCTACGGGGCAGGAGGACTGGCTTTGCTTGTTTTACGGATATTGTATTACATGCGAAATGCATATTAACCCTTAGCGATTGATTATGAGTGATTGATGAGTGTCAGCGGTGCGTTATTTAAGCGAACATCTTCATTATTTCCAACAATTTAAATAATTTCGTCAAGGGTTTTTTTTTTAACTTTTTGAGGTATTATTTCTGTAAATTTATAGTTTATTGAAATTTAAATAAACTTAATCGCATTTCCCTTTTATATATTTTGTATATCTTATTGGAAACATAATGACCTTCATTTAATTAAAAGGTTTTCGGTTTTCGATAAATAGTATACACAACTTCTAAACTACCCATTCTTAAAATATCTTTGGTTTTAAAGAATACTGTTTTTCTTAAATACTTATATAATCTTAATCATAATGTTGAATAAAATTCTTTTGCCAAAGAAATTCTGTATCATTTCCAGTGTGGAACTTAGACTTCAAATTTAACTGTAGAGTCTCCTGACCTGTATTTAAGAAATTGCATCAAATTTTATTTCCAGCTGACTCTAGGCTCTGCTCATCCTGCTCCCCCTACACCGTACATATGTGAGCACATTATCCCAACAATTTTTGCGTCCATTAAGCGCTGAAGAGTCAAACAAACTGACAGTTTCAACCTTCTTTGGCACCCACATTCCAGCGGGTGGAACACCACTAGCACCCACCACAACACGGCGCAACCACCCCACCGCCCAACACACTATTCGACACCAGAGCGCCGCAGACAATGGGCCATGGACTCGCTGGGTGTCAGGCCTTAATGTTTTAATGCCATATTATCCTATCAACAATTTTCCACTATAGATTGACGCTCTTTGTGTTCCGAGACGTACACTGGCAACAAAAAGAACACAGTTCTTTTAGTGTTAGGATTTAAAGATACCAAAATGATCAGGCGAAAGCCAATAAATTCTAAATATCATATTTATTTACCTATACAACAATTTTAATTATTTTAATATTAAATCTATCAGATTATATTTGAAAATTTTGTTCTTTAAATAGAAAACATTTTGAATAGTTAAATTTAAGTCGCAATATCAACGTGTTCTGCCAAATTATCACAAGAATAATATTTAATTAAGGTTTCTAAAATACAGTTTTTTTATAAAAAGTGAAAATGTAAAGGCAAAATTATCAGCTCTGTAACTAATTTGTGTGATATACTTTTCTCTCTCTGCAGGTGTATAGTCGTTGACATTGCTTTTATTGTTCGATGTGGACGAAATGGAAATTAATCAATGCCGTTTGCTTTGCTCTTCTGCCCCATTCCCTGCCCACGATTCTCATCCACCCACAGCCCACTGCTGACGTTGATGTTGATGTTGATGTCTGGGTGTCGTTAGGCAATCCAAGGAGAACTTCAACATGAGCAGGAGCGTGAGTCGTAGCAGGAGCAGGAGCGGCGTATTCGGTGCGTGTTGTGTGCCATCAAAATAAATTGTCAAACATCAAATGAGGGGCCAAGGCCGGACAGGAGGTGGTTGTGGGAGGCAGGGTGACCGTCCAGCAGCCCAATGAACAACACCTTGGCGCCAAACTGGGGTGCTGACGGTGACTTCCGCTCGGCTCCAAGCAAAGGCGCCACATGTCCCTATTATATGGTACATTATTTTCGTCCCGCGCTCTGGGCCTCCATTAATTATTTGCATAGTTTATTTTAGTTGGGCGTGGCGAGGGGCTGCCTAATTATTTGCCAGTTAGCTGGCTGCTTTCAGTTACATTTCGTCTCAAGGTTGCAGCATGTTGGGGCTCGGAGATTCCCCAAAAAAAAAAAAAAAAAAACAAAAACAGAAAAACAAGAAAACAACAGAAGCACCAACAAAGCCCCTGCACCTCTCATCTCCCGTCATAATGATGCGCATCCATCCATCCGTCCATCCACCCCCTCCATCCATCCACAACGCATTCTCATCAGCGAACATTGTGATGAATCTTTTGAGTGGGAGGATTCGGACTTGGTCTTGGGGACTATGATCGAAATAGTAAACATTTCAATCAACAGATTTCAATTTTTAAATGAAATCGGAGGTGAGAAAACCGAACTCCGTGTTTAAATTCAACAATTCTGGTGATAGAAGAAGTCAGAATGTTCAATTTAAAATATTTGTTATATTTGATTTTGGCTAAACGGGCTTGGAAAATTAAATTAGTGATGTCTAAAATAGTTATACTAATTATTAAACAAATCAAATTCTTAATGTATAAACTACTTGGATTTAATTTTAACATTTTTTAATATTTTTTAATGATAATGTATAATGTATCTGTAGTTTTCAAAAATAGAGGTACACAAAAAAAAAATAAATATTCAAATTAATATCAAGTAAGAAAGCAACTGC